TTTCTCTGCTTTCATTGCCACTATTTACTTGGTAATGCAATTTTACGTAGTAGGCGTTATCACTAGAATCAGAGCCTGTCAGGTAGTATTCTTACTCGGAAACGTGTGTTTGTGTGCCTTAGTTTAGACGGGTTGAGGAGGCGAAAAGTCCGACGTGGTTCGTCTTTGATTGAACGTCAAAAACTTAATTCGGTAGTAATTTGAGTGCATAGATGTCATTGACGCTGACATAAAATTCATTGATTGTCAGGTATTAAACATTGAAATGATAGGGTAATGCTTCCCGAAGCTCTACTAAAAATAAATGCAAGATCATTCCTTACAAACGTATGCAATTATACACAATTTTGCTAAGCTTCGCACAACATCATCTTCTATTGAATACTAACTTAAGCTTTAGAGTATACATAGTCAAACATCACACTAGTGCAAGTTTCTGTTTTCAGGTTATCTCTCCTCAACTAATTAGACCTCCACAAAAATTTAAATATATATCTTTTGGAAAATAAGAATAAACAAATAAAACAGTGTTTGAGATTTGAAAATGATAGGAAAAAAAAGAAGAAGAAATGATCTTTAAAAAAATGATAACAACATAGATCCAGGGGGAAAGGAAAGTATGGGAACTGGGGAGCATGGTAACGAGAAGCTTTCCATAAGGAAGAAATATGTTTATTTAAAAATAGGGGTAAAGATTCGAACTCATTATTTATGTTATAAATATGTGTCAATTACCGTGGAGCCAAGTTCATCTTAACTGATATTGTTGACTTTGTCAAATAAGTAGAATTGTTTTTTTTACTAAAATTAAATATTCAAGTGATACCTCATAGAAACCCCCATTGCCGAAGCCCGACGAGCAACCATGTGAGCCAAAGAATTTGTTTCCCATCTGATGAAAAGGACAGAGACCACCGATTTTTCCACCATGAGGGATTTAATTTCGTCAACAATCCAATGAATTTCAGTGATATCTGCGTCGGCGTTGTTCAACAACTTCTCCATCTCCAACGAATCCGTCTCCAGGTAAATCTCTTTATCGTCTTCATTACCGATGCTTCTTAATCCCTCCAAAATCGTCAAGGCTTCTAAGAACTTGATGTTTTTCTGTTCCATAACAGAGGCATAACTTGTGCTTGAATTGACGTTGTTGCTGAGACTGCACTTTGCCTTATCATGCAATTAGAATTTGAGCTCAAGTTGTTGTCCCTCTTGTGATTATGAGTAGAAATTTCCTAAATATAGATTTGCTCGTCAATGTGAAGTGCCAAAATTTGTTGGTTGGGAGCCTCGCCTCCAAACACCACCTTGTTTCGAAAAGTCCATATTTGTCATACCATGACAATTGTTTTGTTAATCGAATGTATCACAATCCAGTCCCAATAATCTCAATCGATCATTAATAATATCTGGTGGACCATAAATCAGATTTTAAGGTCCAAATATGTAATTTGTCCACCTTAAAACGGTGGTTTGCCAAAAAGAAAAATAAAATAAAATAATAGAGGAACAAAAATAAAATATTACATCTAATCTTGGTAAGATGCATCGATTTTCCATATCAACTTTCAATTTCATGGTACTGGACTATAGGTTTATGCTCCAAAAAACAATAAAACAAAATCTTTAGATAATTCATCCACTAATTTGTAAAAAAAAATATCCAAAAAATTGGGTACATAATAAAACAACTCTCCAAAATCTCAACAATTTTCATGGTTTGAATACTATTACACTCTTATTCATTTTGGTTCACATAGTTTCAAACGGTTCGTTTTGATTTTTTACTTTCAACTTTGTTCATTTTAGCTTATGTACCTTTAAAACATCAATTTGATCCATGTACTAACTATTTTGATCCCTTCACTCTCGTTTTTTTTTATTTATTTCAATCATAATTTTCGTCTGACACTTACTTTTTTTAACAACACTCCACTCACCTAATTTCTCAAATGTAACCATAATTTTGTATAAATTTTGTGTATAAATTTTGTAAATATTGATGAAAGTGGTTGCTTCTYAAAAGTAGAGGGATTAAAATGGACTTTTTTAAAATATAAGATTTAAAATA